TTGAGGATGAAATTTGGAGTCAATGAAATTTGGAGTCAAAATGGAGAATTTAAAAAAATGTTCAGTGCCGATGGGGCCAAAATGGGCAACGACGACACTCTTTGACAGAGACTGCGAAATTAATTGGATGGCCTCTGGCGCCGATAACACCAGTGTCGGTGCAGACCCATGTTTCTAAAAGATTTGACCAATTTGGACGCTATTTTAAGAGCTTTTGGAAGCACCTATTGGAGAACTGACCTAGGCTCTATTTAGGGTCGAAATTTGATCAGAAACCCCCCCCACCTTTGCACCATTTCAAATTCTTCCACTCACGCTCACTTTCAATTTTTCCTATTCACACACACCTACATTCCACGTCATTCCACACCATTAGTAAATTATTTTTTTTATAGTTTTGGGTTTTTATGGTGAGTATAAGTGTGCATTATTCTTTAAGAAGTGTTGGAGAGGAAGAGAAGTGAGAGATTTCTTTTTTCTACATTTCCTAAGAGAGGCTACAAAGGATTTGCTTTGAGAAAGAGTTTCAGATACGTGTTGTTTGTTTATTATTATTGTATCAACTTTCTTTTATATATGAAATTTGTATTTGGTTGTATCTTTCTCATGAAGTCTGAGTAGATTCCTTTATCTTTCTCCCTACTCTAAGATATGGTGAAATGAATAGATAATTTGGATGTGCCAATATAAAAATTTAAAATAAATTGTGATGGTTTTTCAACTCCGCTCTTAATTTACTTTTCGATCTGGCCAATTGAATTGTTAAAATATGTTTTGAAACATATGATCCCGAAAATGGAGTATGAGTTCTATAACATAGTGAGAATTACATTTAAGTCCATGAAGGAGTGTTTCGTTCATGGATTAAGTGAAAATAAATAGGGAAATATACTTTGTTGGGTGTAGAAATTAGAGATTTCTATGGGACGGACTAAAAATCCCCAATTCGATATATTCAATCGAGATCACATTCCTCCACTTCAACCAACCAACTTGAATTCTACTATTAACATCCCCATCTATATCACCATCTCTTTGAACAATAGACCCAAGATATCTAAATAATTCACACCTTTTAATAATTTGATCACCCAAAGTTACACTTCTCTCACTAGAGCTACTACTACTAAAAATTACATTCCATGTATTCAGTTTTAGTTCTACTCAAATGAAGGCCTTTAGACTCCAATGTAGACCTCCATAATTCATGTTATTCTTTTGCTTTTTCTCTTGTCTTATCCATGAGAAGGATATCATCGGCAAAAAGCATACACCAAGGTACATCCTCCTGTAAATGTCTAGTAAGAACATCCATAACTAAAGAAAAAAGATATGGGCTTAAATTCGATCCCTAATGTAATCCAACAGAAATAGGAAAATATTTGGTCAATCCTCCTTCAATTCGAATACAAGTAACAGTTCTAGTGGACATATCTGTAATGACTTGAATATAAGTCATATCAACACCTTTGTTTTCAAGAACCCTCCAAAGGATATCTCTTGGAACCTTATCGTAAGCTTTTTTCTAAATCAATAAAAATCAAATGTAGATTCTCCTTATTAACTCTAAGCTTCTCTATCAAACTTCTCAATAAATGTATAGCTTCCATAGTAGACCTGCCCGGCATAAATCCAAATTGATTATGAGAAATTTTTGTAATACATCTTAACATATGTTAAATTACCCTCTCCCATAATTTTAAAGTAGGACACATCAACTTAATTCCTCTATAATTTGCACACTCTTGTGCATCCCCTTTATTCTTAAAAATGGGGACCAAAATACTCTTCCTCTACTCCTCAGGCATCTTTTTAGTTTTTAAACTAATATTAAAGAGTTTAGTAAGCCAAGAAACTCCCAAATCTCCTAACCAATTCCAAATTTCAATTGAGATATCATGAGGTCCTACAGACTTTCCACCCTTGGTTTTCTTTAAAGCCTCCTTAACTTTTTTTTACTAATGATGGTAAAAATGAAATGTTTTATTATTATTAACCATATTAAGATCACTAAGGTCGATCGTAATTTCAGAAACTTCATTAAATAATTTATCAAATTTAAAAATTTTATCAAAATAACTCACCCATCTATATTGAATTCTTTTTCTAAGAAAAACACTTTTTGATTTTCATCTTTAATACACTTTACTTGAGTTAAATATTATAAAAATATTTTTCACCCTCCTTAGTATCTAATTTTTTCCCCAATATATTAAAATCTGCTTTATTTTCTAAATTTATGTTTTGGCAATTAGAATTGCAGTGTAATGATCGGAGGTTTTCTCCTCCATCTTTTGTAGGTCTTCATTCGAGTCTAGCATTATGGTTAATCACTCACCAATCCTAAAAAAATGCTTCATAACTTCAACAAGGGAACATTATTTTCTATGCAAAAGTGGATTTAAAAAAGAAATTTTAATTATGTTAACCTTAACATTTTTGTCACTTTGGTTTTTCTCTAGGCCTTGTATAATGGAACTCTGCTTGTATTTCTGTCATCTCCTTTTGGTTTTAAATGAAGAGTTGCACAATTTCTTTTAAGTCCATTATTGCTTTCAAGCAAGGGTGCCTACTGTCTCCATATTTATTCACAATTATCAAGGAAGATTTATGTTTGAATTCTTGAAGGAAAAAATGCCACCACTTGCTACTCTCTTATTGCTAAAAACTTTAACTTTTTAATCCCATCTATATTTTGTTAGATGATTTACTATTATAATTTTAAAAAATTAATATTGGATAGCTAAGAATTAAATAAAATAACTATATGTTTAAAAATAATAATTATTAACTATATGTTTAAAAATAATAATTATTACATGTGTCAGTCAAGTTTGATATAATGAGATGCATAAATGATAGCCACTTATCAAATATATTTGAATTAAAATTCAAAATAATGTTATATTTTCATTGATTGTTGCATCAATTGATATTTCTTATGTCATCACTCTAATCTAGCATGCATAAAATAATCATAATGGGATGTAGATGGGAGGTACCTAATGAAATCATATAAGAAACTCTTTATATTAAAAATTAGAAATCATGTAAGAAATTATTTATAATAACTATATAAAAATTTTATTTATTTATAGGCTAAAATTTTATTTAGAAATGTTTTATTTGTTCAGGACTGAATGTTATTGCAGAAATGAATACATCTTCAGATTTACAGTCTCCATATTTTTTTTCATTGTCCTAATATAAATATAATGAGATGCTACAGTTTACTTTTTATCTTTGTTCAAATAAAAAACATCAAGTGAGCAGAAAATGGTCTATTTAAAACGATTAACTAAACATTAGTGGGCTAGACAAACACAATGAACAAAGTCCATACGGAGACCAAAAACTGGACATGATTATTTTTCTGGAAAAAATAAGGAGTGGGCTAGACAAACACAATGAACAAAGCCCATACGGAGACCAATAACTGGACATGATTATTTTTCTGGAAAAAATAAGGAAAATTCTAAAAAATATGATTACGAATTTATGTGAATTTGCAATTGATTTTTTGTGCTATAAATTTACTGTTCCAAAGAAACAGTCCCAAAAAAGTGGTGTGATTTGCAGCTACGGTTAATTAATGCAAACTCCTCTTAATGTGATAATTTGTTTTTTTTCTATCATGTCCCAATGCGAAAGGCACGCTTGATGCAAGAATAACAGCATCTAAATAAAGGACATACATAGGACATAATTCGTATATATTTACATATCTAACACCTAAACTTTCTCATTTACATTCATAACAATTTGGTGTGATAAACCTATGCATGAGAAGATATATTTAACTTTTAAGAGTAGGAGATAGTAAAAATTTTGAAGTGATACTTAAAAATTTGAGTGCCTTTTAAATATTTAAAATTTCGATGTTAGATATATACACGAGAATTGCGTGGCATGTAAATGGCCCCCCTAAAAAAAATGATGTCATATGCAAATAAGGTGCATGTCCTGAAGGAACTGCAATTCACAAATGTATCAGGGAAAAAAACAAGTTATCATATGCGGATCTCTACAGAGGAGAAGAAAAACAAATCCTATATAGCTTAAAAGATGCAGACTAGAATATAAATACTCAGTTCCATAAAAACTGTAATGTTTAATCCATAATTTCTAAACAGGTTTTTTCTCCTGCTTCTATCATAGCCACGAGCATGAGCTAGTTGTCATGGAAAATTCACAGAATAGATGTCCAGATGAGCTAAAAAAATTAACTCCGGTGCCTATATCCAGAATTAGCATATCCTTCTGCGCCATAGCCATCGCCAAGTTAATCAACCAATTTTTGGATCTTCTGATGTTCCCACTGTTCCCTGTGATGATTTTTCTGATGATAAACTTTCTTCAGGAATGTTCCCAGTTCTTAAGGTTTGATGCTCTAAAATCCGGGCGTCCTCAAAAGGTGAAACTGAAGATTTAAGCTCATCCAAATTAATATTTTGGGCGAGTTCTGAAGCTTCTGAAGGCTTCAAAACAACAGAAGGTGCTTCTTTAGAAATATTAGAAGGTTTAAGAATATCAACATGGAGGTCGTTAGAAACATCAAGAGCTGCTTCATTGGTCTTCAACAGTGCCTCTTCAGGAAGTTCTGGAGGGTCTGAAACATTGGAAGGTTTGGAAACTTCTGAAGATGTGGCCATCGGAAGCAATGAAGAATTATAAACATTTGAAAAGCTGGACGAGGTTAGCAGGTTCTGGTCGGAAGTTTCCATAGCTCCACCCTCAGAAAAAACCTTCAAAGTTTTCGGAATATTTGGGGTTTCCTCTGTCATGTTCAACTGCTGATCAGTTTGCTCATGGCTCGTAAAGGAAGACGTGGTCGGAGATTCTTTAGGTCGAATATGTCGCCTAAGTCCATTTTGTTCCGAACCATCCCGCGAAGAATCATCTCCTTGGTTGATAAAACCTTCCTCAACCAGAGGGTAAAAAACATTTCTTCCAAGCATCGGGAGATGTGGGGCGATGTCGTTTTCGGCCGAAACTGGAATACAGAGCCGGGGATCGAACACCAAACCAGTCAGGATGGGGCCGGAGCCACCCACTCTAACATTTAGCAAATATCCAGCATCAAATACTCCAATAAAAGAGCAAAAAACCTCTCGACCCACTAACCCGTCTTCGAAACTTGAACTTTGAAGCACCGTGCATTGCTTTCGTCTTTTATTAGGTTCAATTCGACAGACTTCATCCTGACGTCCATTCTTTCTAGGACGACCCCGCTTGCGCTTCATTGGACTAACGGTTGTGTTGTAGGAATTGTCTTGTTGATTTGGCTCCATATTTTGATCAGATATACTGCTCATTTGGTTATTTGGAATGGATCATCTAGAGAAAGCAAAGTTCACATTTAATTTAAAAGTGGAAGTTTCAAACATAGAACACACAGCTGGCAATATACAATACTTTTTGGGAAATTTACATGCGTGGCTTTACATATCTCACACCTAAACTTTCATGTTTACTTACATAGTACTTTGTGCTTTAAAATTATGCATGAAAAGGTTTGCTTCATTTTTATAAAATGTTAATAATGCTACTTTTGACGTGATAGTAAAGATTTGAGTGTTATTTGTGTAAAAATGACAATTTAGGTGTGAAATATGTACATTCGCACGAATTGTGAGCTATGTATATAAATATCTTAAAATTTTAAGTGGAAATAGAATCATTCACATGTACAAAACACAGCCTATGACTTCAATTACATGTTTGACCGGTTCAAATGAAGATTAGCAACCCAAAAACAGAAGAAGAGCACAGTTTTAAGAGAGGTATTTTGAGGATTGCGGGGGTGTTGGGAAGGTACCCTCACGGTTCCCTAGTCTCTCCTCCTCTATCCCTTTCCGACATAATAGTTGATAAATCCTACATAACAACAAATTAAGCAGACACGAAGCATGGAAAAAGGAAATTTAAGTAACTTTAACCGGGCAAAATGGAGAAATGGCATGCCATTCAAAATTTAATCTTAGTTAAATATATTAGCAAGAATCAGCTATTCCTCAATACATTATGATTCATGTAAAGGAGGCATTTAATAAGTCACCAGCCAAATAACTTAACCTAAATAACAACAATCGTTGCCTAGAACCGCAACCAATCATATGACAATAAAACTCTAAAACAGTTCCAACATGCAAGGAATGCATATATTTGATTAAAAACATACAGATGTACCATTATTATAGATGTACCATTATTAAAGTTTTAAAGAGTGTTTGATATTTAGTTATTATGAAACAACATAGTCAAGGTACACCCAAAAGGTGGGAACTCAAGCTATTCAATCAGTATTCCTACTTTTTTTATTATTATTTTATAAAAGAAGAATTTACACATCATGGACAAACTATGGGTACTCTTGCACAGAAGTCATCACACTAGGACCGAACCAGATCTTAATTCAAGCTTCTTTTTATTTTTTCATTTTCTCTATTTTGTAGCTTTAGTAATTCAATCACAAGATTTATGTTTGGCATATGAATTAAAGTACTTTTGTATTAAGATAACATATGTATTATGTTTCCACTCCCATTGCTTTATGTGGTGAATGTCATAATATTCATCATCATCATTAGCCATATTGCTTCATATGTGGTGAATGCCATCATTATCAGTAGTCATATCCCAATAGTTTATGAATCTTTATTCACCTTCATTCTTATTTAGCCCCGTTTGGGACCGCGGTTAACGCGCGGTGCGGCATAAGGCCGCGAAGCTTCGCTGTTTATAGGGGCGGGCGGAGCACATTGGCCGTGCGTTAGGAGAAAAAGCGGGCCGCGGATCGAACCCCTTGGCCCGCGGTCGAGCGATGGCTTATTACACTTTACCCTCACTTTGCTCCTGTTCGACGATCCTTTGCTGTTTGGGTCGGTCGTCGCTCGTTGCTCATCGCATCTTGCTGAATCATTCCCTCCCATTCAATGCACGCATCAGTGTTTCCCTTCAATCCATCTCGTAAAGTTCTTCCTTTTCTTCCGATTTCTTCGCTTCCTCGTAGCTTACCATTTTTTTTGTTGACGTCTGGTGTCGTCGGAAAGAGTAGAGCTGGCAGAATGGTGAGGGCTTAAGTTCAGTCGACGCTGAAGATTTTGAATTTGGTTATCGGATTGGTAGAGATGTTCATGATTCTGTACTCTCTGGATGATTCGTGGTTGGTTCCGGAAAATGATGGAGGTTTCCCCGTGCTTTACTGGTTCGAGCCCTCCATGGTCCGCGGCTCTTATTCATTCCTTCTACATTTCGCGTTCATTTTGTTTAATAGTTTCCAGATAGTCATTTTTTTTTCTTAAATATTTTTTAATGTTAAGAAAGGAACTTTTAAATCAATTTTTCTTCTATTGTTATTGAAAATTTTTGTTTCTTCTTGGAAGTAATATCAGTGCCTATTTTTTGAGCTGTCAGCCATTTGTTTTAAGGATTATAGATTTATTCTTTATTTTGTGGGCCATGTCGGGGATTAGAGTGTTAGATTTCTTGTCTTTTCACTGCTATTAGCTGAATGATTGCAGAATTCCATTCTATGCTTAAGTTCTTCTGATCCATTTATGAAATGATTTAGTTATTGTTTGTTGATTGTTTAGATTTGTCTATTTTAGAATTTCTATGAACCAATTAATGTTGATTTGCAGGTTCATTTTATTCCTTTCTTGGACAAGGAACTTTCTTATGTATGATAACTTGCTCAGGACATATTGCTGCTGAAACTATCAATGGACATTGCCTTTCATGTGTATCCTTTTCCATCGAAGCCAAACAAAATATTCTACTAGTATTTGATCTCTTGTATTTTGCTGCATAGTAATGAAAATTTGCAGCTTTTCACCACAAAGTTCTTCTTCCATCAGTTAGGGAAGGTTATCACTTGGTGAAGTCCATTATTGTTTGATAATTCTGTTGCAACATGCTAAAGCAGGTTCTGTAGTGATATTTCTTAATTTAATGGTTTTTCTAGAATAATCTTACTAGTAAATTTAGAATGATTTTATTTATACATAAACTAAATTTGAAGAAGGTTGATTGTTTTTGGCCTTTCGAATTTACCTATATGCATTAATTTTTATGTTTTGATCTAGAATATTGTAATTTTACTCTGATTTGATCTGTGTGCTGCATACAGTCACATACTTTTATTTCGAGGAAACTATGAATCACATGTGCTCTTTACATTCCGAATTTCATAGTTATGTTCAATTATCTTGCTTGTAAGGCCTGGTTCATGATACATTTTAGCCATCATTTCAACAAAATGAAATTCAAAATTAAACATTGTTAGTTAATTCACATTCATTGTAGATTTCAATATTGCCAAATGATGCTACTGGTCTCAAGACCATATGCTAGGCCTAGACACCATCATAGAATCAAGGGAGTGAGAGATAACATAGAATGCCTACTTAATAAACCTCTTTCAATTATGAGAAATATTTTTGAAGAATATCACATAACAACTAAAATTTGTTAGGGAAACATAAAATTAAAATGTCATTGCATTCCATATTCCGAAATTTCACTAGACTAATTATGAAAACAATTTTTGATGCATCTAATATATGGTTAGAATAGTTCTGTTACAAATACATTACAAAGTAAAGGTAGAATGGTCATTTGTCCAGAAACAGCTACCACACAGTTGTTTTCACACACCTGCAACAAACAATAAGTCAGCTTCCCCGCAGCAGCTTCGTGGGGCAACTAAACTACAGCTCCCCCAAAAATCTTGATCGAATCGATATTGTTCAAATTATAAAACAATTTAAAATAACTATATATAAAAAGTTATAACTATAGATTAAAAATAACTTTAAATTGAAAAATAAATTTATATTTATATTTTATATATATCTTATGTTAATATAAATAATTATATATAAAAAAATTTAATACTAAATAAGTAGTAACTAATATATTTATATTTTTAAATATCTTATATCACACACACACACACAGATATATTTATATATATATATATATATATTAGTATATAAATATACTTTACCAAACTCAACCCTAAAGCCCTAATCTCTTCGCATTCACAGTGCCTCTTAGGAGAAACTTCGAGCGAAAGCTCTTGGTCTTGGGTTAATGCTTTTCTTCATCAACGATGACGATGATTTCCTCGCCGGTAAAGGACTAATAGTCTCTCACTCTTTATTCCTTGTGGATTCTGAGCCGTGAGTAGTGGCTCGTGACTCACCTCTGTGAAATCTAAATTTATTCACTTAGTTTTGTGAGGTTTTTTGGCTAGCCCCTCTCGTCTCTCATTTTTATTATTTGTGAAGCTATTATCCTCATTTAAGGCTAGAATGCGAGTATGATTTGATAATTCTCTAATTACTAGTTAAGGTTTTGTACAGTGGTGTATCAGCGGCAAGTATTCATGTTATTTGGGTTTATGGTGATGCATATCTTAGATTAGTTCTTTACGAAGTGTGCCTTTTTATGGATTGAAATGTTCCAATAGCTATTTCATTTTCAGTTCCTCATTTCAGTGGATTGTATCTACACTTTATACCGGCCTTGATGCTGAGTTGCAATTTTTAAATTGTTGCTATAAGCTATAGCCTCCAGGAATTGACGTGAAAGCCCTTTTTCCTTTACATATGTACTGCTCATTTATTTTGTTTATTTACATATCGAACACTTAAACTTCATTTTTTACATGTAACTCGGCTTATCTATGCCTGAAAAGATGTATTTCTCTTTTTTAAAAGTTAAAATAGTGGTAGTTTGATGTGATAAGAATGATTAGGCTAGTATAAATGTAAAAGCAAAGTTTATGAGTTAGATATGTAAATATATTAGAATTGGGTGGCATGCATGTAAATTTCCCTTTATGTTATTGCTGCTTTTGCAACATGAAAGAGGAGTTTCCTGTTATCTAAAGTCTAATAGAAAATGTGTTACAATGTTTTGCATTTGAAGCAAGCATGTATTCATTTTTCTGCCAAAACATTTATAGCATTTATTGGAACAATTGGATGATTCCGTATGTGAGAAAATATTGTGTGACTGAAACAGGGTCGAACCACTCTCTATAAAAATCTAAATTGGTTGATTCACAATTTATCCTTGTAAGTGTAATGTTCTCGGGTTAGAGTAGCCTGAGAATGCAATGAAACTAATCTTTGAATACTCCTCATTCTGCTAAGTATTGTCAAAACTTTCATTGGTCTGTTGATCTCCTAAAGGATTTTGCTCATTGTTGATAGCCATTATCGCAAAGAGGAGATTTGCGACCCTCTTTATAGGGTACATGATCCACCCGATAACATCATACAACATATTGATGATTTTAATTTTAGCAAAGAGAGTTTGCATAAACTTCAAAATGATCACATGATTTTTCAAAGCAGTTATGTAGTTCCCAAGGTTGGGGAAAGGGGGTGGGGAGTGGGGTTTTTAGTATGCATGAACATTCTTTGACTTTAAGTTTATTTGTTTAATATTCTTTTAGACTACATGCAAATAAAATTATTTTTGGTACTTTGGCACATTGTGTGACTTTTGATGCACTTATAAGATGCATTTGCATGCTTTTGGTGTAGTTGAATGATTTATTTGCATGCTTTTTAGCAACTCACATGATGCATTTGCACATCTCTTAAAATATATAGAAATTTTAAAAATGGCTCATGCTATATGCTTGCATACCTTGAAATTTTGTTTAATTTGCTTTTTATTCTTTTTTGTTCTATGCACAAATGCGATGACAAATTTCACAAGTTTGATTTATGTTTTCTTTCAAAGCATCATAATTTATGTTCATTTATGGTTCTAGCCTAGAGTAGTGGGCTCCATAAAGCATCATTATTTCTCCTATAATTAAGTTGGTGTTCCTTTTTCACCCAAATTTTTTGTAATGC